GGGTGGGAGCCCCTCCCCCCACCCCCACCCCCAGCAGTGGGTCCAGTCTCACATTTCAGGGAACTTCTTCATGGGCATGAGCTCAGTGCAGATGCTGTTACAGTTCCAAACAATGGGTAAGGGCCTTTTCTTTTTAGTTGAATTTGCTCCTACCATCCTAAGTGAGCCAGCATTGTTATGCTGAGAAGTGGGTGTTAGATTATTGGGTTTCCTGGGATGGGAGTCAGTTTTGCATATAATCAATTATAATTACGTAAAGCAAGGTCAAGTCCTGGCCCACTCATGCCAAGCCAGAGGAAGGGAGGGAGGGAAGGAGAGAGAGATATTGTTCCTGTGGGAAGCACACGGCACAGTGTGACCCTTAAGAGCTCCAACGTCTGTGCAGAAGGGTCAGTGGTGAAGGCCGACATGGTGTGCGGAGCTCACTTTACAATCCACCAGCTGCTTCTCCTGGCCCATGGGCTGGTGGCTTTGCTTCCTGAATAGACCTCCAAAGCGTATTTCCAAAGGGGAGTCCTCTCTTGGGGAAGTCACGCAGCCAAGCACAGCCTAGGACAGCCTAGGCTTGAAAAGTTCCAATTTGGGGAGCTCTGTGAACTCTGGGCCCACCAGGCCTGTCAACACCCCACTTCTACCAGCTGGCCCCGCCCCTCACTCCTATGCTCACCACCAAGGCAATAGCTATGGCCTTGATGCCATTGGGCCCCAGCCCATGGTGGTTGAGGTTCATGTAGGGCTCCTCCATGTTCCGGATGAAGTAGGAGGCAGGCACCACACCCACCACTTTGCAGGCCTCCAGGTACAACTCCTTTTGTCCCGTGGTGAAAAATTTCTCAGAATCTGCAGAAAAGAAGCAAGATCCATTTTGGGGGCCATCATCTCCCCTTTCACCTCAGATCATGTTTGCTTCTAAGAGGCACCTCCTCTTCCTCGGGCTCTGTCCCCGTGGGTGAGTGCTCTCAGGAAGTCAGCAGTGATGGGCGAGGGAACCCCAACCCCAGAAACCCCAACAGACTTCTCCTTTGAGGTACAACCTGAGCTGCCCCAGGAAAAGCAGTGGGCTGTTCTAACCCTTCTCCAGGTGGTCATGGCGCTGAGTGGACATCCAGAGTGTGTAAAGGCCCAGCCTCCTGCCCACCTGGGCAGCTTTGGAAGGCCACTGGACAAAAGGCTGGCGACTTGTGATGGTTGAGAGCGTCTCCCTTTCTGTTCCAGTCCCACTGCCACTGTTCCAGTGTTGAAAACCATCAGTAAAAGTTTTGTAAGGATGAGGGAAAGTGCCTTCTTGTGAAAAGCCCAAGTAGGATGCAATGGACTTTTCAGCGGGCAGTTGGTGCCAGGTGGAAAGACCCCCTAAGTCTGTCAGAAACAAGCAAACTTGTATTTGTGTGGGGTTTCCTCTGTCAAAAGCTGCATGTCATTTCTCCTCGCAGGGTCTGCCACCCCCCTTTACTCATGACACTGGCCCCAGTCGGCACACAGCTGATGTGTGCTAGCCGAGCCGGGCATGTGGGCATGCCACGCTGACTCCTGGGGCCTTTACTCCTTAGCTTTTGGGAGGCTGCCTGGTGGTCACTGGGCCTGGACCTTTGTGTCTGGTTTCTGGGTTCTGGGTGTCCCCACAGCTGTGTCCTGCCCACGCGAGCCCGATCTGCAGCCGGGCTCCCGTGGCCAGCTGGGGAGCTGAGGTGGAAGCCTGCATCTGTTCCTACTTCAATCCTAGGGCCTTTGGCCAACCCACCCAATCATCTCTAAGGCAGACCATGAGACATTTGCTTGTGAAAGCACAACTTATATGCAATTCTTTTTGCAGACATGACTCAAGTGGCCTTGTCTCTGGGGTGGTTGTGCAGTTGGCTTTCTCAGCCTTGGCACTGTTGACCTTCTGAGTTGGAGGATTCTTGAGAGTGAAGGTGGTGTCATACAGGCTATGGAGCAGGATCCCCTCAACGAGCCAGCACTCATGAGATGACCCTGGCACCTGTCCCTCCCCCAGCTTGCCGGATGTCCGTCAGGTACAGAAGCACCTGTCGGATCCAAGAAACAGCCCAGGGTGGACGATGACTTCCGTCCCTTCTCTACCTCTGGGGCCTGACCACCAACTTGCTGTCCCCACCCATGGCCAGCCTGGGCTGTCCCAGGAAGGTCTTTCTGCCCCACCTTCTGCATCTCAGCACTAGCAGGGAGGATGCAGGAGCAAGGCAGCTGGGTGCACCATGCACGCTGTTCCTCTGGGCCCTTTTCTTCTTGGGGGAATGGGAGGGACAAGTTTCTGCTCCAATTTTACCCACCCCCCACCCCCCACATCCTGGTCCCAAAACTCAGGTGTTCTTAGATTTGGCGGGGGAAACATGGGCCTCTCAAGTAAGGAAACCAGAACTCTCATGTGTGTAGGGGAGAGTCAGCAGGACATGAGTTGGGCCACACACTCGGGCCCTGGGTGGGTGTGTAGGATGGGTTTGCCAATGGGCAGGTGGGACAGGCCTGGCTGGGCCGGTGGCCTCGGGAACCTCACACAGCCTCACTGAGCCTCAGTTTCCTTCTTTGTCTCCCTTCTGGGACTGCTACAAAGGTGACGTAACATCAGGAAACTGTGGGAACATCAGGAAATCCGAAACTCCTGCTCATTTGTTGGTTCTGCTTTCAACAGGCTGAAGTGGCCACTCTGTTCACAAGGTGGCCAGGCGCCAGGGATGGCTGCAGCCCTGGGTCAGCCTTGAGGAGGAAGGGCTGTGGAACGGCCGTGTCTGCCCATTCCCTACGCTGGCAATGCCCAGCCCCTGGGAAACTAGATTCCTCCAGCGTCTCAGGAAGGAGACGAGCCGCCCTCCCCCTCCGAGGCCCACTCACCTTCAATCTCCAGGTCTGTTTCTGAGTCCTCCTGGATTGCTTTCTCTTTCTCAACGGCCGGGGGTGCGTCGGCCTCACAGTAGAGGGCTTCATCACTGCTCTGTGGTGCCAACTCGGCTTCCGACTCATCTGCAGGAGAAAGTCATCTCCTCGATTCTGGCAGTGAAACTGTGGTTCCCCACAGAAGCCAGAGCATCTCCCTTCGGCCCCCACTCCCCTCTTTGCCCCCCCACCCCCCGATCATGCTGCAGCCTTTATCCCTGACTTCATGTTGCTCTGGAGGCCATGGAACTCTAGCCCAACCCTCTGCTCCGTTCTCCCCATCAGGAAGCTGCCTCCTGGCTGACTGACGGGCTGTGGGGTCTGTGCTAACCACCCCTTTATGTCCTCGGGGATCCCCTGCTCCTCCCCAACTCTGTTTAGGGCTTGTCTTGGATAGTTGGTTCTTGCTCACTCTTTTCCTTTTACTGGCTTAGGTGGGATTCAGAGACCGCTGTTGCTCTCAGAACGATGGGTACCAGCATCCCAACTTTCTCGTTGCAGGTACAAGGGATGGCAAGGGGCACACAGGTGACTTGGACCAAAGGTAAAATTAAAGGGAACAGGAACAGATTTAGGGATCAGGAACAATAACTTTCCTTCCTAAGAATTTGACCTAGTTCCTCTTCTTTCGATCCAGCATTTATGTCCCTGAGGAAGGGCAGCCTGAGGTTGAAATGATTTGCTGTGAGTAAACACACTGGTGTGAGCTTCCTTTACACTAGTCTCCTGCACTTGCTTCATGTGAGTTGTTGCCAATGGGCCGCTGACCTGAGTCCTGACCTGGACTCCTAAAATCCACACCCAAGGTCCAGAGCTGGTCCTTAGCATCAGCAAGAAATGGCCCAGGGAGCCACACTGCACCCCCAGCGGGCCAGCTAGAACTCTCTGGATGGGTGAGCATTGGTTGCAGGGTTCCCACATGCTGCCCACCATGGTTCTTACATAGTGGGCTGCCTAGTGGGTCTGCATAGACCTGCTTTTCTTAGCCCATGTCCACTAATTTCCACAGATACCGATTTCCCTGCCTGTAAGTTGAATGGCAAGTGGCCTGGCAGTTAAAAGACATATAACAACTTAGCCATCAAATGTAACCCTATCAAAGGATGCCTCTCTGAGCCTTGCTTTTCTCATCAGTCAAGCATTTTCAGAATTCCATTCACTAGTGGTATGCTGGTGATGTGTACTGGTTCTCCAGGAACAAAGTATGCTGACTGCAGGGTTAGTCCGTGCACATGGCGTAAATATTCCCAACATATCTGATCTCAAACTAGCTGTGTGACTCTGATGAACCCACAAAATGAAAATTAACATTGGGTAGAGGTGACTGATCGCAGCACAGCATTGCATCTAGCTCTCTCCCCCACTTGCAAGCCCTGAAATCAAGTCAGGGTAACACATTCCAATTCTAGGAGGTCCCCTGGCAGAGGGAGGGGGCTTCAGGGGGCATGTGCTCACTGGGTGTTAGACTCAGGGCCTGAGAGGTCAGAAATGGGGTGCCTTTTCACCTTGCGTCTCAGACTCAAGAGGTTCGTCATCATCCATGGTGCCAGGACCCTCTGGAGGTTGCTGCCAGCTTCTTGCCACCTCACCTTTCTGCTGCTTCCCTAAGAAGCACACCTGTCCATTCACCTCTGTTTCAAACTCTGTGCACCCTGTCCTCACATAGAGAAATTTCAGGGGGGCTTGTCATTATCCTTCCATCTCAGCAAGCCCTGGGGAGAGTGGGCTTTGTTGGGAATTGGACATGCATGGATGTGACCCCAACTCTGTCTGGGGGAGGTAGCTCCTTCCTGGGGTCATCAGTGAGAGTGAATCAGCTCTAATCTTGGGAGCCCTGTCAAAAGGATGTCCACCCGCCTGCGACTTTGTGACTTAGGAGCCACTTTCATTTCATCTCCAACATTCCATGACCTCACGCAGTCATTGTGATCCCCAGGGCGGACCTGGCAACAGCAGGTTGTGGCTCTGGCAGTCATCTTTTCTCATTTGTCCGCTGAGGCCAAGCCCCTCAGGTGCTGGGGGGAGGCCTTTCTGTGGTATTGTATTTCCCTCTGAGTCACATCAAACCCAAGCCCCTTAATCAGGTGACTGTGAAGAGCCGCCACCATGTTCTTCTCTCAAGGTAGTTGTGCTTCAGGTACGAAGTATTTCAGTGATGGGTGAACTTGGTTTTCTTCTCTCCAGTTCTTCTTCCCTTTTTTTCTTCCCCCCTTGGGAAAGTATCCTGAACCTTGAAGCAGAAGATCAAAAAGCAAAGCATGACAAACATATGTCCTATCACTACAATTTGTTGCAGCCAAAGCATTGTTCAATCTGAATTTTGGGACTGCCTAACTTGAAGCCACGCAATCATCCTTCCCCCGCTTGTCTGTTTTCTCAAGTCTTGGAGTTGAAGTTCACTTTCAGCTTTCTGTCAAGAGATTCTGGAGACCTGTTTGTTTCTTCTTGATAAGCTTTCAGCCCGTCAACAGTCAGGTCAGTGTCTGGAGGGCTTGGGGACACGAACTTTCATCTTCCATGCAGAATAAGAATGAAGATCTAGGGATTTGTTCAGGGAAAATATAGTTAGAATATGGGCTCGAAGGAAGTATGTAAATTTGAGATATTGCTCATTCCTTTAGGGTTTCATTCTAAGAAATATTTTGGGAGCATCTGCTATATACAAAGCACTAAGATAGGCAACATTGTAGGGAGCAGATACAGTCGGGACTAAAATGTGAGTCTTTAAAGGAATGTATTATAACCCTAGAGTGTGAGGGTTCTGGGCAAAATTGTTTTTAGCAGAACTCCTGTTCATACAAGCAAGTGGGATCACCCTAGACAGCATGGTGGCACCATCCTTTAAAAGAAATGTCCAACAGGTCAGGAGAGTGACCACTTGTTAGGATGACCTGAGGTAGGCCCCTTGGGACATCTGGTAAACCTGTTACAGGTGCCGAGGATAAATGGCCTTAAAGAATGAGGAATGAGGACCAGGCAGCAGGCAGCTCCTGGTCTAACCTCTGGGGTAGACCTGGTGTTCTGCTGGATGGTACTCTGTGGGCTCAGCAACAAAGGAAGCAAAATTGGGAGATGTTACTCCAAATAGCCACTGGACAGAGGCCCCCCAACCCTTGTGTCTAAGGTTAGCACTGGAAATTGATAAGGGTTCTGAGGGAGAGTCTGAGCATTCAAGGAAAAGTTTCTTAATTCTGGGAAATATGCCTAGGCTCTGGACAAGTAGTGCCTGGGGGAAATGCATTTCCAGATGCAAGATAAAGGAAGGTAGTGGAGTCCTAGGTGGATTTGAGAGAGTAAAGTGTGTGGAACCTAATAGGGGAAGGGGAAGGAGAAGCCATAGTGGCCACAGCCATTTAATAAATAGATTTAAACTCAATGAAAAGGCAGTAGGAATCCCTTATAATTTTGAACAGGAATGTGATACAATCAAAGCTTTTGATATGGGATCACCTTCTCTTTTGGGGCATAAGTCCATTCAGGAGAAATAGAAGTGTTCAAAAAGCATAATTTTTTTAAAGTTTATATCTTTTTAATGATCATGAAATACAGTGCTTGTAACTTTTTTATTTAAAAATGTTCTCTATTACTAGCTCTCAGATGGGAGGGGGGGCTAGTGAGGGTGGGAAGGAGGGGGTGGGGTGTCCAGTGGACTTCTGTGGAGCATTGTGAGTGCTTAGGTGGTGAGCATGGTGTGGTGACATCTGTCTGAATAGGTGTGAACCTATACACCTAAGTCATGTACAGTAAAAAAAATACAATTAAATAAATAATAATAAATACAAAACACTTTCCCCTCTATTACTGAGTGGTATCCTTTTTTAAAAAAATGAAAATGTTTATTTTGAAATAATTTTACATGACAGAAGTTTAAAATAGTAGTGTTCCTATAGATTTTTCAGTCTGCTTCTTTTGGTAACATCTTACAAAAACCACAGGAAATGATCAAAACTAGCCAACATGGGTACAATGCTACTCACTTGCTACAGCTGGTGTTTGTAGTTTACCAGTTTTCCTGCTACTGTTCATTCTTTGTTTCAGGAGCCCTGCAGGGGCTCCACATTACATTGTCTGTCTTGTCTCTGTTAGTTTCTTCCAGTCTGTCACATTTCCTCCTGACCTTTGTCCTCGTGACCTTGACTCTTTTGAAGAGTACTGGTCAGATACTGTCTGCAGTGTTCCTCAGTGTGGGTTTGTCTGATGCTTTGTCTTGATTACTGTGCAGGATACCAGAGCTGGTGCATCCTTCTCAGGGACACACGGGTCACTATATATCACTTTGCTCCAGGAGGTCAATGTGGAATTTGCCTCCCCTTCCCCAGTCATGAATACATCTTCTGGTGAAACTACTTCAAGACAATGCAAATGTCCTATTTCTGTTTAAAACATTTGTTCACTAAATTTAGCACTCATTGTTGGCTCTTGTCTACAGTCACTGCTGTGGTGTTTGTAGAGATTTTCTACTCCCACAATCCTTTTACATTTGTTTATTTGAACTCTTCTGTTAGAGTTGTCCTTTGATTATTTATTTGCTTGGTTTATATTCATAGGGGCTCCTAGATGTGTATTTAGTTACTATGGTTTCTTTTACTTTTCACATTCTAATTTGAAAGGAGCTCATTCCCTTGGTTCCTGTGCCCTTTGACACGCAGTTCCCTTCCCCTCTTTTGTTCCTGAACTTTCCATTACTTTCTGCACTACAGAAATTGACTACTTTTCCAAGGAGAAACTTAGATCTGGATACTGGTATTAGCACCTTTGGATGTTCCTATCTTCTATTCCCTTAAGTGGGTAGAGCTAGGAAATTTATGCATGTATTCTAACCCATGCTTAGTATGCATCTACACACTTAGATGTTATTTAATGACAGCTCAGTCAAGAAGAGAGGTTCCAGTAGACTAGATCATATACTTAGGTGTGTGCTAGGCTATACCGCTAGGTTTGTATAATTACACGCAATGACATTTTCCCAGTGATGAATCACCTGATACCACATTTCTGAGGTTGTACCCACCCTTACTCAGCAACATGTGACTGTATTTATTCCTGTATCCACCTATCTGTACATGTAGGTGTACAGAAACAGAAACCATGAGTCTATACTCACAGCTCCGATTCCAATTCAGCATCACAGGAGATATTCAAGCCTGACCACTTTTCATATTTGTCCTTTCTTTCTTCCTGAGAAAACTGGCTCTCATTTTCTATTACCTAGATACTTGTTTGCTCATTCCTAGTATACCTACAAAGTAGTTTCAGAGTTGTTAAATGTCCCTGGAAACAAACTTACCAACCAGAGTACATTGTTAGTATATAGTTGCATGTTTAATTTTTCTTACAGTAGCCAGTCAGAATACTTTTTGCCCTTCAATATGGTTAGATTCACTTGTTAACGTTGGTGTTTTATCCATATCCTAGTTGATTTTATTTAATTTAGCAAAACTCATTCTTTGTATGGACAATTTTATAGGTTTTGATAAATGCAGGGTTGTCATCACTATTGCAGCTCCACTCAAAACAGTTTCATTACCCTAAAGGACCCTTACACTGTTCGTTGTGATGACTCCTTCCCTCTTTTCCACCCCTGGCAAATACTGTTCCATTTTCCATTCTTCTGGCTTTGTCTTTTCCAAAGTCATATAAATGAAGTCATACAATGTGTACATTTTCTGGTCTGGCTTCTTTCACTTAGAAAAACATATATATTGTGTTGCTACATGAAGCAGTAGCTTATTCCTTTTATGGCAAAGTAATATTCCATTGTAGGTACATGCCATCCCTCATCCATCCACTGCTAAAAGATCTCTTCATATTTTCCCTTTCTTTGATGACTAAAAAGTGGCTATAAATAATCACATAAGAGCTTTTGTGTGAATATAAGTTATCATTTCTTTTGAGTAAATTCTTACTGGGTCATCTGGTTGGTGCATGTTTAACCTTATAAAAAAACTGTCAAGTTGTTTCCTAAGTGGCTCTACCAGTTTGAATTTCCACTGGGAGTATTTGAGAATAGCAGTTGTTCCACACTCTTGTTAACACTTGTTACTGTCAGTTTTGCTCTTATTCTACCATTCTAATAAGTGGGTAATGATGTTTCTTGATGGTTTTAGCTTGCACCTTCCTAATGACTAATGACATTAACCATTCTTTCATTTGTTTACTGGTCATTTAGCTATCTTGCTTGTTGCATGTTCAGATTTTTTTCCCATTTAAATTGGGTTATTTCCTTGTTGAGGTTAGAGGGCTTTTGATGCATTCTGAATGCATGTCCTTTTGTTAGAAATGTGATTTGTAAAGATTTTTCTCAGCCTGTGGCTTATCTTCTAATTCTTAACAGTATCTATCACAATGTACAGCTTTTAATTTTGGTAAAGTCAGATTTTAGCCAAGTTATAAAAAATTACCATTGTTTTCCTCTTATGAAACATGTTTTGGTGTCAGATCTATAAATTCTCTGCCCAACGCAAGATCATTCAAATTTCATCCTATATTTCATTTTAGAAGTTTCATAACGTTTGCCTTTACATTTCGGGCTATGATCTATTTAAAAAAAAAACTTTTATTGTGGCAAAATAACTATAATATAAGCCTTCTTTATTTTAAGGCTTTTCCATATACAGCAGTTCAATGGCATTAAGTATATTCACAGTGTTGTACAACCTTACCACTTTCCATTTCCAGAACTTTTCTATGGTCCATTTTTAGTTAAATTTTTTTTAAAGATTTTTTTATTTGTACATACAGAACTGGGGT